TATCGTTCTGAATTGCACAAATGGACTGAATTGCACAAGACGCATGATCGCACCGGCTAGTCTGCGTTGCCATTTATTGCCATTTATTAGATTTTTTACTAACTTACTCATTAGGATGAAAATAAGGGAAAGCAAACTGAGGACCTCATTGTCAACATTGAGGAGGTCAGCATCCAGAATTTCATACAAATGTTCATGCTTGAGGCGAAAAAAATCCAAATTACGTCCGCTAACCACTGTTTCGTTTACTGTATACAGCACATATTCAAATACCTGGAAATTAGTAAAAAATTGGTATTTCGTGAAGAATTTAAAACCAAAAATGCTCAGCATTCAAAACCAAAGTTCGACATTCAATGCCTGGCAAATCCACTGATACCTTTTTTGCTTCTTCAGGCATATATCGAGCACATAATCGCCATACGGCAATGCAATTTTCTTCGTTAACGTTAGCAATGAATTTCTGAACAATGCAACGCTCCACTTCTTTTAGCTTCCATTCTTTAGCCTTGAATTTGACCGAATAAACAAAAATTTGAGCTAGAATTTGAAAGAATGAAGAGTTATGTCACCTTCTTGTTCTCAGTTACTTCATCTCTTTGTCTATTGCACCAGAAAATATTTTTATAAATTTCTCATAATGAACTATTCTCACTTATTTCTCCCCTTTGTGCATCCTTGGCCCATTTTTCTTGGCCATCAGCCCAAAAACATTCTTTGCTTCCTTCTCACCAATATTTTTTAAGCAGGAAACTTAATATGGATTTTTATTGAGTAAAACTCTAGACTTAAAGTGGACAAAAAGCATACTGCGCTGAAAGCCATAAAAGTCTTTTCAACCGGGCTTTGAGAGATTCAAGACTATAATTTTAAATGAGGTCCTATGACGAAAAAACAACCAACCGCTTTGAGGTCTCGTTCCAGTTGAAGCCAGTCGCTTGTTTTCAGGTCATTATATTTTAGTGCACTGAATATGTCAATGATCTGAATTTGAACTGATTTAAAAGCATTTCTAGCTGTCATTATCCCAATTCAAGCAGACGGCATTTTGAAGACAAAAAGCTGACTGTGATAGAAATCGGTGCCTTTTGTAATCCGTACTGTCTGCTATATCCGCATTTTTCATGCTTATAGTCAGAGAAATTTGATTCTGTCGCCTCAGATCCTGGGATTTTTCCTAAGGGTCGTAAAGATAAGAGGATGTTTCAGCGACATGAGTCTAACTCCTTCAGTAGAAGTGGCGTTCTCCATTTTTATTTGCATCGCTGATAACTAAACATCGACACATACTAGAGGGTCAAATCCGCCATCAAGTTACTTCTGAGCAGTCTTCGAAAGAGAAAATCATGGGCAGCCTTGCTAGGGAGTAGTCTGGAAGAGCGAGAAAAAATCAAACAAATTACAATATCAATAGTGGCTGCGGTATATATCGCGTATTCTTGCGTTGCTTCGTCAAACTGCATCAACGGCAGTAAAGCAGGACAACGTGTCTCTATAAACTGGCTACTTATTCGGTACCTGAAAGCTTAGTTCTTACTTAGTCCTTTACCCGGTTCGGATTTGGTAGAATCCGCCCCCAAAGAAAAAAATGAGTATTTAAGCATTCTTGAGAAGAGCAACAGACAAGCAATCATCAGATGATTCATGCACCGATACAAGTAAGTACCACCACTATCGACTCTTAAAAAGGAAACCCAGAAACGAAGAAACATGTTTAATAAAATTCAGAGGAGTAATTTGAGCTAACTCTAAGCAACATGTGCTTATAACTTTTAGGAGCCGCTATTTATTCAAGAATACTAAGATCATCCGAACACTCGACCTGGAGATTCCAAGTTAGTGATGTTACTGGAATGCTCCTACGTGTAGCTTATGGTTACGCTTGTTTACTGCCCTCCTTCCCCCGTTTCGCACTGTTCTTTCCAATGAAGAGGAAAATCTTTTCAGAAAGTCTCCGCGAAACCGCACTACTTTATGCGTTTTTTGCAGCAATGCAATGCGAAAAACGCATATTGACGAGAGGTTGTCTGTGTGTATGTGTGTCTATGTGTCTGTGCGTCTGTGTGTCTGTGTGTCTGTGCGTCTGTGTGTCTGTGTGTCCGTGTGTGCGTCTGTCACTGTTTTTCATCTCAAGACCTATAAAAGCTACGGGGCTGGAACTTTGGGAACTTAATCTACATGTACGTACGGACACCAATCTCCAAAATTGGCGCCATACCCCGCGTGGTACCCGCGTACGGGCCCGCCAAAATTTTTTTCGAGTAAGTTCATAAGTCGGGGATCTGAAAAGCTAGAAAGCTGAAATTTTAAGAGAATGTTCCCCGTCAAAGTAGGTACTAATGAGCTCAAACCCAACCCCCGGGTGAGCGTGGCACCCGCGTACGAGCCCGCCAGAATTTTTTTCTTATAAAGTGATAACTCAATTACCTGAGAAGCTAAAGGAATGTAATTTTAAGAAGA